AGCCTGTCTGAAACATAAGAATATAAGGTTTCAATGGCACTGTGAAAAACTCTACAGTCTGAACTTCTTGGCCAGGCACGGTGGCTCATGCCTGTAATCCCAGCACTTTGGGAGGCCGAGGTGGGCAGATCACTTGAGGTCAAGAGTTTGAGACCAGCCTGGCCAACACAGTGGAATCCTGTCTCTACTAAAAATACAAAAATTAGCCAGGTGTGGTGGCAGGTGCCTGTAATCCCAGCTACGTGGGAGGCTGAGGCAGGAGAATGTTTGAACCTGAGAGGTGGAGGTTCCAATGAGCCAAGATCGTGCCACTGCACTCTAGCCTGGGCAACAGAGAAACTGTTTCAAAAACAAAACAAAAACAACAAAACAACAAAACAAACAAACAAAAAAGTCTACAGTCTGAACTTTTCTTTGTTTTTACATATTGTGTGAAGTAAAAATCTTTCTTATTTCCTTCTGCAAAAGGAGCCATTAATATTTTGCTTTAGATTACTGTCATCATAGTAAATGCTTATTTCTGTAAGTATCAAACTGAAAATCACCACTTACAATTTTTTTAAAGCCCCCATTGCTACCTAAAAACTCTTCTTACATGACTTTACTATGGCAATAAAACACAAGAAAAGAGCATTTTATCTTTACAACCAAAGACAAAGGATTTCTGAATCTGATCTTATTTATCACAAAATATTTCATATAGAAAACTTAAAAAGTTGGCCAGGCATGGTGAGTCAGGCCTGTAATCCCAGCATTTTGGGAGGCTGAGACAGGCAGATTGTTTGAGCCCAGGAGTTCAAGACCAACCTGGGCAACATGGTGAAAACCTGTCTCAACAGAGACTACAAAAATTAGCCAGGTGTGATAGCACATGCCTGTAGTCCCAGGTACTAGGGAGGCTGAGGTAGGAGGATCACCTGAGCCCTGGAAGGTTGAAGCTTCAGTGAGCTGTGATAGCGCCACCGTACTCCAGCCTGCGTGACAGAGTGAGATCTTGTCTCAAAAACAAACAAATAAACAAAAAGACTTAAATAGCAAAATGGTGCAATGGTTAGTTAGGCTGGGCAAGTTCATTAAATAATGGTGAATTATTATGAACACCATAAATTCTCCTTTTGGAATCAACTTGGGTAGTTATTTACTAACCTATTAAACCAAATAATATTAATGTTGCTGAAGAGGTTACTTATGATTGCTTCTAAACTATGACTAAGGAGACTCTAAAAGAACAATGGAAACTCCTCCAAATTTAGCACTGAAAACTGACACCAGTTTTTCAATGCAATTTTCGTTCAAGATTTTCCAGGGGAAAAGAAGTTTTCTTAAATAGTATCCTTAAAAAGAACCCAATAACATACCAAAAGACATAAAGTTTGTGGGGTTTTTTTGCTTTTTTAAACTATCGATAACTTTATTTATTTACTTATTTATTTTTTTCGAGAGGAAGTCTCACTCTGTTGCCCAGGCTGCAATGTAGTGGCATGGTATCAGCTCACTGCAACCTCTGCCTCCCAGGTTCAAGTGATACTCCTGCCTCGGCCTCCCGAGTAGCTGGGATTCCAGGCGTGTGCCACCACATCCAGCTAATTTTTTTTATTTTTACTAGAGATGGGGTTTCACCATGTTGGCCAGGCTGGTCTCGAACTCCTGACCTCGTGATCTGCCCACCTAGGCCTCTCAAAGTGCTGAGATGACAGGTGTGAGCCACCTCGCCTGGCCCTCAATAACTTTAATTCTCCGTATCTTTCTTTTCTTTTCATTTTTAAAGGAGAATTGTTCATTGGGCGCAGTGACTCACGCCTGTAATCCCAGCACTTTGGAAGGCTGAGGCAGGCGGATCACTTGAGGCCAGAAATTTGAGACTAGCCTGACCAACATGGCTAAACCCTGACTCTACTAAAAACACAAAAATTAGCTGAATGCGGTGGCACATGCCTGTAATTCCAGCTACTCAGGAGGCTGAGGCACGAGAATCACTTGAACCCGGGAGGCGGAGGTGACAGTGAGCAGAGATGGTGCCACTGTACTCCAGCCTGGGCCACATGGTGAGACTCTGAAAAAGAAAAAAAATGGAGAATTGTTAAAGAACATTTCAACATGCATTTGAAGTTAAAATCAGCTTGTTTTCCATGGAGTAAACAGCCAGAAGTTTCAACCTTGCAGCTGAGTGATAAGAATCAAGCAGGGGGCCGGGACACGGTGGCTCACACCTATAATCCCAGCACTTTGGGAGGCCAAGGTAGGTGGATCGCCTTAGGTCAGGGGTTCAAATCCAGCCTGACCAACGTGGTAAAACCCTGTCTCTACTAAAAACGCAAAATCAGCAGGGTGTGGTGGTGGGCGCCTGTAATCCCAGCTACTTGGGAGGCTGAGGCAGGAGAACTGCTTGAATCCGGGAGGCGGAGGTTGCAGCAAGCCAAGATCACGCAATTGCACTCCAGCCTGGGAGACAAGCGCGAGACTTTAAAAAATAATAATAATCATCATCATGCAGGGGCAGGATTCTAGCCCTAGCCCTTTAGCTTCCACAAATCACATTGGCAATTCCTAAAGCCAACTTGCTCTTTTTCCAAAGGACTCTATCTGTAGTGATTAAGATAGTTTGTTTTAAGTGATCTTATTTGAACTCTGAATATCTCGATCTGAATATGGACAACTAGGGCAGTAGAAGAGGCTTTACAGGGGACCTCACTTTCTTTTTTCTTTTTCTTTCTTTTCTTTTTTTTTTTTTTTTTTTGAGACAGAGTCTCACTCTGTTGCCCAGGCTGGAGTATAGTGTCACAGGCTCTGATCACTGCAACCTCTGCCTCTGAGGTTCCAGGGATTCTTGTGCCTTGGCCTCCTGTGTAGCTGGGATTACAGGCTTGCACCACCACTCCTGGCTAATTTTTGTATTTTTAGTAGAGACTGGCCACCTTATTGGCCAGGCTAGTCTTAAACTCCCAACCTCAGGTGATTCGCCCGCCTTGGCCTCCCAAAGAGCTGGGATTACAGGCAGGAGCCACTGCACCTGGCCTTTTTTTTTTTTTTTTTTTGAGACAGGGTCTTGCTCTGGTGTCACCTATCATAGCTCATCGTAACTTCGAACTCCTGGGCTCAAGCAATTCTCCCACCTCAGCCTCCCAAGTAGCTGGGACTACAGGTGCGCCAGTAACATTTTGCCTTTTTGAAGAAAGGGATTTGTGAGTTTACCATTCCTCTTTTATTATTATTATTACTCCCTAACAGTGTTATTCCTTCTACATTTTTTGCTTGGCATCCTACTGTAAGAAAGAGCTTTCTTTTCTCTCCCATTTATTTATATCAGTATGGACTCATGGATTCTTTCTTCTTTTATTCAATGGGTTATAATCCATTCCTATGATTATTTATTGTGGTGCTCATAATTGGTCCTCAAGGGTACCTGCACTTTTACAGTATAGGTTACAAGCACACAGTCTTACATTTAAAATGAGCACAAAATACTTGCTTTCGGGGTCTCTCTTTGATTCAGACAGCTCTGTGAGCAAGGCAAACAATCATCTTTCCTGTAAACTCTTTGCCAAAAGGCTTCTCTGCTGGTACTGAGTATGGCGAGAACTCTAGGTTTTCTCACTCTAGGCCCCTTGTGCTTTCCACTCTATTCAGCAGTCTCGTTTAACGACTGAAGGGTAAAACTTCAGGCAACAACTCCACAGTGGGAGGTCTCGTCCTTGGCAAGATTTCTCCAGAGTAGCTTACAGCCTATGCTATAAGGTAACCCTGGAGTCAACAGCTGTTTGATACAGCATCAGCATGAGGTTAGGGTACGCTGATTTGAGCAAAGATGGGAGGTAGAGAGACACCCTGAATTTTATTACCCACAACAATTATTTAGGATGAGTTTTTCCCCTCTTCAAATTACCCAAGTTCTTTTTGTTTTATACAGAAAGACAAAAGTAGCTTGAGTCTATAATTCCTTCCCTACAATTTCCCTTATTTTTAATGTGCAAGTGCTTAAAAAGCAAGATCACAGAAGGGTTTATAACAAAAAGCCAAAGTCCCCAGCCTCAACTCACACCTCCTCTTACGAAAACTTTTTTTTTTTTTTTTTTTTCAGACGGAGTTTCGCTCCTGTTGCCCAGGCTGGAGTGCAATCTTGGAGTGCGATCTTGGCTCACTGCAACCTCCGCCTCCCGGGTTTCAAGCAATTCTCCTGCCTCAGCCTTCCAAGTAGTTGGGATTACAGGCATGCGCCACCATGCCCGGCTAATTTTGTATTTTTAGTAGAGATTGGGGGTGTCTCCAAGTTGGTCAGGCTGGTCTCGAACTCCCGACCTCAGGTGATCCGCCCGCCTCGGTCCTCCAAAATGCTAGATTACAGGCGTGAGCCACCGCGTCCGGCCTCGGAAAACTCCTAACTGCTTCCCATTTTTAGTTCTGGCAGCTCTCTCCATATTTGTGGAAACGATTTATTGGATTATCAATGTAAGGTATTATCTGTCGACTCACTGCTAAAATAGATCAGGATTTAACTAACACTCCTCTCCACCTCTTCCCTCTTTCCGAATTTCTTTTTTTTTTTTTTGAGACGGAGTCTCGCTCTGTCGCCCAGGCTGGAGTGCAGTGGCCAGATCTCAGCTCACTGCAAGCTCCGCCTCCCGGGTTCACGCCATTCTCCTGCCTCAGCCTCCCGAGTAGCTGGGACTACAGGCGCCCGCCACCGTGCCCGGCTAGTTTTTTGTATTTTTAGTAGAGACGGGGTTTCACCGTGTTAGCCAGGATGGTCTCTATCTCCTGACCTCGTGATCCGCCCATCTCGGCCTCCCAAAGTGCTGGGATTACAGGCTTGAGCCACCGCGCCCGGCCCCCTCTTTCCGAATTTCTAACAGTTTATTACCTTATGTTCTAGAGATAATCTTTCAATTATATACTTAAACCTCGACTTTTTTGTTTCGTTGCTCAAAGTTAGCTAGATTTTGGCCCTGCTGTCTTCCATCAGCTGCAATTTTACCTTTACGTCAAGGTTGAGAACCTTGACCTTCAGGTCTGTCATCCTGCTTAAGAGTTTCCGTGCTTTGTCTGTAAGATGGTGCTAAAAGCTTTACTCATGAGCAGTATTTGCTGGGTTATGTCGGTGGAGGACAGCGTGCTCTGCCTTGCTGGCTACTAAGTGCTGGGGCTGCAGCCTGACCCCTCCAGGTGCAATGCCACGTCCCCAGATGCTTAACTTGTGGTCTAGGGGTACCTTTTAAAAATCGTTGCAACACTGCTTACAATTTTCCCCCTCCAAGTGGACAGCTTCGGGCATCCCTCACCGCCCCAGATTCTCAACGGGGTCTGGCGCCCACCGTTTTAGGGAGCGTAATTCCCAGAGCTCAGATGTCAACGAGACAAGAGCTACCGCTCAGTGGGCGTTTTCTCAGCCCTAAACTCCCGATCGACTCCGAGTCTCCCTGCCGGACCCGGAGCAAATCTCAGAGTCAACATGCGAGAAGCGGCAGCCCGGCGGCGGATCTCCGGCTCCCGACACCCTCGCGCTTCCCGCGGGCACGAAGGACTCCCCTCGACAACCGCCCGCCTCTCAGAGGCCGAAGTCCTAGGCCCTCCGGCCGGCGCTGCCTGTCCACGGACGCGCTGGCCTCGGGACACCCACCAAAGCGGTAGGACTCGCCTCCGCCAGCTCCACAGCCCGGAACCCAGAACGCGCTCCTAGGAGCCGCACAGCGCAGATCAGGGGGCGGGCTTTCGGCCGCACCCCTTCACTGTTTCCCCGCCTTCTTTGTTTATTCGGGGCCCGTCATTGGCTGCTTGGCCTCGAGACCGGGCGAGCCGCGGGTCTTTGGAGAGACGCGATTGGATGAAGTCCCTGTCGCTCGGCCAGCGGCCCGCTCGCAATTGGTTGAGAAGCCACCGGGGGTTTGAATCGCATACCCGGCCGGGGAGGGTTCTGCCAAAGTGCCACGTTGGGCCCGGCGGCGGCGTGAAGATCGGCGGCAGCGTGAGAACCTGGCTCCCGGCGTTCGCGCCGTAACGCCCGGCCGTTGGGGCCGTTGGGAGGCGCTAGACGAGTCGAAGCAGCCGGCCGGTCGGCGGCGGTCGCCGGCGGGAACGGGGCTGAGGCGGCGCGGCGGAGCCTGGGCGGCGGCGCGTCCCGCCCGAGGGCGGCTCTGGCTGAGGGCGGAGGGGCCGGGGAAGAGCCCGGGGCAGCGGCTGAGGCGGGACGGCGGCGGCGGGGACCGCTGCCCCTAGAGGACCCAGCCGAGATGCTGGCGGAAAACCTGGTGGAGGAGTTTGAGATGAAGGAGGACGAGCCGTGGTACGACCACCAGGACCTCCAGCAAGGTGAGGGCGGGGGCGCCCCGCGGGCGGGCGGCGGCCTGGCCCGGGAGGCCCCCGCTGCGAAACTGTTAAAAAGTTGCTTTCTCTGGCGGCTGAGGATGCAGGTGCCGGGAAGGGCTCGGGCTCACCTGGCGGCGGGGCCGGCCGTGCCCGTGGATCCCGCCCGCAGGAAGCCTCGGCGCGGGGCCCACGGCCCTGCTAATGCGCAGTTGAATATCAGCCCCGAGGCGCATGGGGGCCAGGGTCGCGCCAGGCACCGTTTTAAGCGCTTTCCGTGGATTAGCTAGTTTAATCCTCACTGCATTCCTCCGAGGCAGACCGGGTGAGCCAGTGTGTCCCGCAGTAAGTGACAGAGCCCGAGAAGCCGCCCCCTCGCAGGCTGTCTAGCCCAGCGCCTTTCATGGCCAGCACCGAGGGCCGGCTGCTGCAGGTGGTGGTGGTTTTGCGATGTAGCGGGAGCTGTGTGCTCTGCACCGTAACTCTAGGAGACAGTAACTTTAAAAATGTATTAATGTTTGAGGGTACATAGTAGGTGTACATATATATGGGGTACGTGAGATGTTTGGATACAGGCACGCAGTGTGAAATAAGCACGTGATGAAGAACGGGGCGTCCATCCCTTCCAGCATTTATCCATTGAGGTACAAACAATCCAGTTACACTGAGAGAGAGTAACTTTTGTTATCCCATTTTCCAGATGAGGAAAGCCCAGGTTGAAACGGTTAAGTGGCTTGCCTAAAGCTAAGTGGGGGAGGGAGTGTTTTTTAAACCTACACACTCAAAAGGAGGAGTTGTAGTCACTCCTCAAACCCCCCTCCCTTCCTTACCATCCTAGTTAACAGTTTTTTTTCAGTTGGGCATTAAGCTATTAGGCATAGTTCACCAAATGCCAGTTGAAATGACAGAAGAGCGCTTCTACCTCTGCCACTTTTCTTCAGTTTGCATGCCAGCTTTCACTTAGAAATAGGCCTGCCGATGGTGTCTCCAGAGAACAATCGTAGAGCAGCTAACACTTTGGGGCCAGTGGGGCCCCACCTTTTTTTATACTAATAGCAGGAGCTAGCAATTGGGGAACACTTTTGATGTGCCTAACACTGATAGGCCCATAACACAGTTGCTCATTTATCTCCCAGTAACACAATAGAGGTGGTAATGTTGGGGAGTGCTAGGGTTCCCCTTAAGACTCCAGAGCAAACATTCTTAACCACTACACTGAACACTGAATAATCCTCAGGAATTTTTCCCGGCATCTTTGGTTTCTGCAATTCTATGTAAATGCTTTCAGCTCTAATCTTGCAGTGAAAATTAACATCTCATTTAGTTAAATATTAAATGATGATGATGCTTGTTCATGCTAACCACTGAACATGGCAGAAGGAAACAGTGTAGACTTGAATAACTCAGAAAAGGAAAATAAAATGAGCACCTCTTTTGGAGGAAGATAATTTCTTAAATTAACATGCAATCACTTTAACCAAAGTAATTCACCTTTATTATGCTTATAGAGTCCAAGCTGCTTAGTGGTTGCAGTGCAGTGTTTGGTGGCATCATCTTTATGTCCAAAGGACAAATTTCTCATACATTTTAACAAACCTGTTTTCAGATTTCCCCATTGGGATTGATGGCCTAGTTTGATAGTTTCTCCAGGATTTGTGAGGCAACCACTGTGCCATTGCAATATTTCCCTATAATTTAATTTGTATCATCACAACTAAATATTTTTCTTTCCTGTATTTAAGAAGCAGAGGCCGGGTGCGGTGGCTCACGCCTGTAATCCCAACACTTTGGGAGGCTGCCGCGGGTGGATCACAAGATCAGGAGTTTGAGCCCAGCCTGACCAACAAGGTGAAACCCTGTCTCTACTAAAAATACAAAAATTAGCCAGGCGTGCCTATAATTAGCATGTGCCTGTAATCCCAGCTACTCAGGAGACTGAGGCAGGAGAATTGCTTGAATACAGAAGGCGGAGGTTGCAGTGAGCCAAGATGGCACCGCGGCACTCCAGCCTGGGCGACACGAGACTCTTGTCTTTAACAAAAAAAAAAAATTTAAGAAGCATAAATCCTTAAGGGTATAGAGGGGGCAGGTTCTTTTTTCTGGTATTTCCAGCATCTAGCATAATACTTGGCACATACTGGAAGCTCGATTTGAGTATTTGTTGAACTGCACTGAAGCACTAGCACAGAAGTGTTTTCGTGGCTCTCTTCCATCAGGTGCCTTAGTCCACGCTGCATTCTCCCACTGTTGGAGGTTGTTTGGAACAACCAGCTGTAACACTTCGGTCTATCAAGCAGCAAGTGCAGCGTGTCAGGGTTACACGTGGAATTCTCTTTAACCTCTGATCAAAATAAAGTCATCAGCTCTTCAAGTTTAACGTTAAAAACACAGGTCTGGCCAGACGCGGTGGCTCACGCCTGTAATCCCAGCACTTTGGGAGCCCGAGGCAGGTGGATCACGAGGTCAGGAGATCGAGACCATCCTGGCTAACACGGTGAAACCCTGTCTCTACTAAAAATACAAAAAAAAAAAAATTAGCCGGGCATGGTGGTGGGCGCCTGTAGTCCCAGCTACTTGGGAGGCTAAGGCAGGAGAATGGCGTGAATCCGGGAGGTGGAGCTTGCAGTAAGCCGAGATCGCACCACTGCACTCCAGGCTGGGCGACAGAGCGAGACTCCGTCTCAAAAAAAAAAAAAAATTTAAAAAACCACACAGGTCTGGGCTGGGTGCAGTGGCTCATGCCTGTAATCCCAGCACTTTGGGAGGCCGAGGTGGGCGTATCACCTGAGGCCAGGAGTTCGAGACCAACCTGGCCAACATGGTGAAACTCCATCTCTACTAAAAATACAAAATTAGCTGGGCGTGGTGGCAGCCCCCTGTAATCCTAGCTACTCGGGAGGCTGAGGCAGGAGAATTGCTTGAAACTGGGAGGCGGAGTTGCAGTGAGCTGAGATCATGCCAATTGCACTCCAGCCTGGATGGTAAGAACGAAACTCTGTCTGAAAACACACACATACACACACACAGAGGTCTGAACCTCTTTACTGCCAGTTGCATTTCTGTGTTTTCCAAAGGGCTGCTACCTTATCACAGTGGACTTTGACATACCCCTCTATGTCATAACCAACTATATGGAGTACGAATAGAAGATGTGAAATTCCAACAATTATAACTTGTGAATATGGCCTGTCAAAGAATAAAGGCTACAGTGTGAATAAAAGGGTATTCTTTCCCCAGTTTTGCTAAATTCTATGTTAACTCCTAAACTTTTAACAGATTTTAAAACTTGTTCATTTCTCAAAAATGTATTATCTGCTCTTTGCCAGGTATTCGCCTAGGCACTGGGGCCACAGCGCCTCCCCACATGTTTGGATAGGCAGGATTCCTACTCCCATAGAGTGAATGTTCCAGGAATCTGTTCACTAGAGAAGCCTGGAGGTGCTGCCTCATGGGATGTGCCCACTACAGCGCCTCGTACGTTGTAGGCCCTTAGTAGACCCTTGCTGCTGAATCAAGTTTGGGAGCAGGTCTGTCCTGTTAAACAGATTATTCAGCAGGTCTAGTGGGATTTTATGTGCAGGCATCTGCCCATTTTTTAACATCCTCATTATTACTGAGTGAGGTTTATTTGGAGAGAACTGCTGAAATTTTTTTTTTTTGAGGTGGAGTCTCGCTCTGTCCCCAGGCTGGAGTGCAGTGGTACACTCTCGGCTCACTGCAGTCTCCGCCTCCCAGGTTCAAGCCATTCTCCTGCCTTAGCCTCCCAAGTAGCTGGGATTACAGGCACGCGCCACCACACCCATTTAATTTATGTATTTTTAGTAGAGATGGGGTTTCACCATGTTGGCCAGGATGGTCTCGATCTCCTGACCTTGTGATCCACCCGCCTCAGCCTCCCAAAGTGCTGAGATTACAGGCGTGAACCACCGCACCTGGCCCGAAAACAACTTTTAATGATCCTGTTCTCAAACTCTTACAACTACAAAATGTTTTCCTTTAGTAGTAGAAGCCATGAGCTAAATAGATTGAATCTTTGTATCAAAGTTTCCTAGGGTATCCTTTTTTAAATTGAAATTGCTGGAAAATTCTAACCTCAGTAAACTCTGGTCTGCTATTCATACCTTGTTAGAAACATGTAAAGCTTTTTTGTGTAGGCAGGAGGAGAAAACCCTTTGCTGTTACCAAACACTTTGATGAAGAGACTGTCTTTTGTCAGAGGGCTGAGTTGGCTCAATAGGAATACTGACAATAATCTCTGTGGGTAAGATATTTTCTGGGACAGCAGGAGCCTTCAGTTTAGGTAATGATGGTGCTTGCTTTGAAACATGCCCCTGAGAACAAGGTGGAAAGACTTCAGAGACTGGATTTTCTTTTAAACCAGCTGCTATTGTCATTTGGTGAGCTGTGCAAACTTAGAATAAGGATTCAGGTTTCTGTTATGTGGATCAGTAAATGAACTCTTAGTTTAAAGGAATCCTAAAATTTCAGGATGAGTACATCCTCCTTGTGTACAACTATTTTGCTGAATCACTGTTTGGAGGGTTATTAAAAGTGACACCATCATTTTTCTTCATATTTATATTCAGGTTTTCTGCTTTCCCAATTATAGTAACGTTGGCAACAGGAGTTAAACAGAGGCATCACTAAATGACGCATTTGACTTTGTAATAGGAAAAACTTTCAGCCTTAATATTAGTGAATTACTCCTACAGACTACCAGCCAACATTGGAATATGTTGTCATTTTTTTAAAAAAATAAACTAAAGTAAAATGGGAAAAATATCACGGTGGGTTTTAAAGTTTTCAAAATTCTGGAAGAAAGGTTCTTTAAAAAAAATTACTTGGCTGCCAGTACTAATTTTTTGCCGAAAGTATAGAGCTGAGTATCTGTTTAAAGCTAACAGTTTACACCATTAAAAATATATTATTACCTGCAAAGACTCATTAGTGAAAGAATATTCAACATATGAAGGTATTGATATGTTGCAATTCTCAAGCCTGCAATA